AACAAAAATAAAAATAAAATAAAAATAAAATAAAAATAAAATAAAAATAAAATAAAATAAAAATAATATTATTATTTTTATTTTATTATTATTAAAAAGAATCATCAGCAGTTGTTTTTGTTTTTCTTTTTACATACAACACAACCACAAATGCGGGGGGTTTCTCCTCTTTGCCTATTGCAAATTATTATTTTATTTTATTTTATTTTATTTTATTTTATTTCTTTTTCTTTTTTCTTTTGTAGATGTTTTGTGTGGTGGGGGGCTGCAACCAGAAATAAATTAAAACATTTCTCTGCTTTCTTTGTAATTCTTCTTTTTCTTTTCGTGAGGGTTTAGGGTTTAGGGTTTAGGGTTTAGGGTTTAGGTGGAGTTTTGTTAGTATGGAGTGTTTATCATCTGTTTCGAGCATAACTACACCTAAACCCTAAACCCTAAACCCCAAACCCTAAACCCTAAACCCTAAACCCTAAAAGAGAAAGTTTAATTTTTAAATTAAGAATTAAAAATGAGGGTTTGCACTGCAACACAGGATCGTCTTCTTCCGTTCCATTGCAGCAACGTGTTGTACTCTTGCTGCTGCAGCTGCTGCTCTTGCTGCTTCTGCTGCTTCTGCTGCTGTTGCTGCTGTTGCTGCTGTTGCTCTTGCTGCTGTTGCTGCAGCAGCAAATCATTCATCAATTGATTTAATAATAATATAGACAGCGACAAATACACAAAATTCTGAACTGCAGCACCAGCAGCAGCAGCAGCAGAAGCGGCAGCAGCAGCAGCAGAAGCAGCAGCAGGAGCAGCAGCAGAAGCAGCAGCAGGAGCGGCAACAGAAGCAGCAGAAGCAGCAGCAGTTCTTACTTGCTGTGTGATTGTTTGCTGCTGCTTTTTGTTGCTTTCTGGTTTTTCTTTTTTTGTGTTTTTTATTTGTTTTTCTTCTGTGCGGCAAGAAGATGAAATATAAGCAATGTAAATGAATTGTTTATTTATATTATTTTATTTATTTTATTTATATTTAATTTATATTTAATTTATATTATATTTTTATATTTATTTTTATATAAATATAAACAAATACCTTACTTGTATTGCTGCAGCATATTTTCTTTTTTTCTTTTTCTTTTGAAATAGGAATAGTTGCCGCTGCAAACAAAAAAAAAATAAAAATAAAAATAAAAATAAAAATAAAAATAAAATAAATTAAATATTTCTCTTTTTGTGTTTTTATTTCTTCTTTTATTTTGTTTTGTTTGTTTTGTTTTTGTTGTTTTTTTTTTGTTTTTGTTTTTTTTGTTTTTCTTTTTAGGTTGTTTAGATG